ATTCCATAATCTGGTATGCTTGTAACATTAGTATCTTGTCAAAAAACACTGAAGATCATACAACTTTTATAATTAGACAGGTTAGGCAAAGATGCTTTAAGTTGTTGTCTGTCCCCCCTTATACCCTGACCCCTACACTTTCCACAGAAGCCAAAGGATCTTGGAGTTTGGAAGCTACCATGTTAAATTAGACTTCAGTAGGAGAGGTATGCAAACCTACTGCTGAGTAACCTTTTTATTATCAAATCTTTTCACACATCCATTGTATTGGTGAGCAAAAATATTGCAATTTCAGTAAAGAAATATCCTGTACTTATAGAAGTATCATTTGCTTGATGAAACCTCTGTATATATACATCACAACCAGATGCAGGAAAGAATAATTCATAATTTGTTTGTTGTTGAGCACACTTGAAAAATGTTTTCCTTCCCCATTGCTGAAAATAGTTTACCAGAATCATGAAGATTTAATTTCTTAAAAGGTCCCATTTCTTCATTCAGTAAATTTTTATTGTGTCCACTATGTACCAAATTTAGTGAAGTCTTAAAAAGGAAGAATTTTCCTCTGATATTAAATGTAATTTTTACTGTACTGAAGTGTGTTAATTTCCATTAAGGATTGAAAAAAAGAACACTTTTTTGACAAGGTAGGATCAAAATAATCACCGCTACTAATGTATATATACCACACCACTGAAGACCCGGGGTTTATAGACTTTATTGACTTCATTTTGTACATTTTATTTAAATAATCTGGTTTAGCCACAAAATAATTTCTTGACCTTGAGTAAATCACTTAACTTCCATGACTCAAATTCCTTGTCCATGAAATGAATTGTTTGCTAAGATGCCTTGACCTATGTGCTTTCAGGGTTTCTTTGTTTTCTTTCTAGAGTAGTGGTTTTAAATTTGATGTCTTTGTTTAATGCAAATCCTGATCATTTAGATAACATTGCAGACTCTACAGGAATGATTAGTCTTTATTTCTTAGGTATGTTCAATTTTCTTAATTCATTGATGCCCACCCTGGCAGAAGGACATCACTGAATGATGTGTGCAATTTCTTAATCTTCTAGAGAAACATAATGATTACAGTCTTATTAGAGAGGTGTCACACAGTAACTTCTGAGCTATTTCATATTTGCTAAACCAATTTTTATATGCCGGTGTGTATCTGGAAATGACATCCTTCTTTAAAGTGGAATGGAAACTTGTATATTCTGTTACTCATGTGAGAACTTCTCAGTATAGAAATTTGGGAAGTTGATCATTCTAAAAATCTGAGTGGAATAATTTTTCTTTTGTTTTCAAACTACAACATTAAGAATGTTTTAAATAGATAATTTTCAAGTGTTCAGAAGACTATATGAAATATAGCTTTGTTGTACATATTCCAATTTTGCAGTAGGTTTAAGACTTGGCATTTCCACCAATGATTGCCTGACAGGCAGTGATATTTCTAGGGGGTGTTTATAAATAAGTGTTGGATCTTCTGGTCAATCTGAAAAAATAATTAACGACAGTGTATGAACATGCCTCAGGAGCATCCTCCAGGTCTTCACATTTAGCTAATTTGAACATGAAAGAACTTTTATTGATCTATAAAATTAACAAAATAAATATTTCCAAAGTTTAATAAATCTTTTTGAAGTAAACCCTCCTGAAGATGAAGCAGAATATCTCAGTGCATTTACCTTCATGGCCAAAAGCAACACTATTTATAAAATTATAGGGTCTACTCTGACATCACCATGATCTACTTGGTTATCTAGGGAAACGTTAACAGCTTTTTAATGGCTCCTGTCACCTGTTCCTCTAATTTGGTCTTCCTGGATCCTAAGTGACAGTTTACTGTGGAGGTTAAAACTTATTTTGAATTTTTTAGTTTTTTAGTTCATTTTTTGATGTGTACAAGTCAATGACTTTTGGTATATTTGTGCAACTATCATCACTATCTAATTTCAAAATTTTTTCATCACCTCAAAAAGAAACACCATACTCATTAGCAGTCGCTCTCTATTCCTCCCTCTCCCAATCTCTAGTAACCACTAATTTACTTCCTATGTCTATGGTTTTGCCTATTATGAAATTTCATATAAATGAAATCACATAATATGGAACCCTTTTTATCTGGCTTTTTTCCCTTAGCATAATGTTTTCATCGTTCACCCATATGGTAGCATGTACCAGTACTTCATTCCTTGTTATGACCAAATGATACTCCCTTCTATAGACATACCACCATTTTTTGTGTGTATTAGTTGATGGACATTTGAGTTGTTTCCAAGTTATGGCTATTATGAATAATGCTATTATCAACATTCATGCACAGGTTTTTCTTCAGACTTACGTTTTCAGTTCTCTTGGGTATATGCTTATCTGTTGACTTTTTGGGTCATATGGTAATTCTGTTTTGAAACTGCCAAAGTATTTCTCACATCCAATGTATCTGGGTTCCAATTACTCTGTATTCTCACTGCTTATTATTGTTGGTATCTATTTTGATTTGCATTTCAGTAATGACTAATGATATTGTGCACCCTTTCGTGTGCTTATTGGCCATTTGTTTATCATTGAAAAATCCTCTATTCAGATCCTTTGCCTATTTTTATTTGGATTATTTGTCTTTATTTGTTGAGTTGGAGTTGTAGGAGTTATTTGTAGGTTCTGGATACTAGTCCTTTATCATATATGTGCTTTGAAATATTGTATTCCATTATGTGGGTTGTCTTTTCACTTTCTTGACACTGTCACTTAAAACATAAAATATCTTAATTTTGATGAGGTACAACTTATTTTTTTTCTTTTATTGCTTGTAACTTTGGTATCGTATCTAAAAAACCAATAACACATCTGAAGTAATGAAGATTTACCCCAGCCTATTTTTACCTGTGAGTTTTATATTTTATGGTTAAATCTATTATCCATTTTAAATTAATTTTTGTTTATGGTGTTAGGAAGGGGTATAATTTCATTCTTTTGTATGTACATTCATGAATTTCCAGTTGTCCCATGACAATTTATTTAAAAAGATTATTCTTTCTCTATTGAATTGTCTTGACACCCTTATCAAAAACAACCATAAGTGTAAGGTTTTATTTTTGGAGTCTCAATTCTATTTCATTTACCTATATGTCTATCTTTAAGCCAGGACCACACTCTATTGATTACTATAGCTTTGTAATAAATTTTGAAATTGGGGCTTGTGAGTCCTCCAAATTTGTTCTTTTTATTTTTCTAAAACTAATGTTGCCTATTCTGGGTTCCTTCCAACTCCATATTAATTTTAGGATGGGCTTTCAGTTTCTGCAAAAAAAAAATAGTTGGAATTTTTAAAGGGATTAAATTGTAGATCAATTTGGGGAGTATTGCCATCTTAACAATAGTAAGGGTTTTAATCCATGAATACTAAATAAGTGCCTTTATATTTCTTTTATTTTTTTCAGTGATATTTTATAGTTTTTATTGTGTAAGTATTGTACCTCTTTGGTAAATTTATTCCTAAGCATTTATTCATTTTGATGCTATTTTAAATTGAATTTTCTTGACTTGTAGATTGTTCATTGCTAGTGTATCAAAATACAACTAATTTTTGTGTATTAATCTCATGTCCTTCAACACTGCTGAGCTAGTTTATTAGTTCTAATAGGCTTCTGTTGGGAGTCTAAAGCTTTGATTGTTATAATAGTACCATTGTCTTTCTCCTATTGCAAATTTGTGTGTGTGTGTGTGTGTGTGTGTTCAATTCAGTTGATTTGAACTAATTTTGGTATTTTAAGTATAAAGGTCAGATTGAATATCATGTTATACCCCACACTGTCCTCTCCTGACTTATGATTTCATTTTCATACACAAGAAGAACAACTATCTAGAGCATGTCTATTTTCAAGGGCACTGCTGGCAGTATTGTAGGGCCCTGGCAATGGATGCTGGTTTGCAGTTTCAATTAGACAATATGCAGTATTCAGACAAAGCATCTTAACAGAGTTTTCAAGTCAGTCATGACTAGGATGGTCATAAAGTTTATCATCACCCTGGGATCCTTTGAGATTTAATGGGCTGGGGGTAACATGTGCTGTTAATTATTATGCCAATATATTAAATATAAATTCTGAATATCCTGGACACACAGGAGGTATAATCACCCTTGTCATAACAGATTGTCAACAGATGGGGTTTGAAGTTGTAAATCTGACAAAATGAAAAGGGCAAGCCAGGGACAGAGGTTTATTACCAGAAGATGCCTATGGGTTCAATAGTGGGGAACAATGGATAGAAAGTCCAGCTCAAGGAGAACACCCTACACTGATATCATGGTTAAAAGCATGGGCCCTAGAGCTAGACTGAGTAAGTTAAAATCCTTCCTCTGCTACCTATTAACTGTGTGAACTTGAGCAAGTTACTTAATCTCTCAGGGCTTTAACCTGCTCAAGTACAAAATGAGTTTAATAGTCACCTTATCACATAGAATTGTTATGAAGGTTATATGAATGAACATATTTAAGATTTTAAATAGTCTCATCATACAATGTGAGATATGTAAACATTAGCCATTAATATTAACTACATGTCTGCAGTGATTAATTTTGTGTCTTGGGTAGGGATATGGGCTGAGTACACAGACCAAAAGCCTGGCTAGTGGGACACTGACAAGTCCATGTTGTTGACTGCATTATAGCTGAGGGGAAGCTGAAGTGGATTTTTGATAACCTGGCTCCTCAGTGCTGGTCTTCCCTGAGACTGTGTATTTTGTTTTGTTTTATTTTTTAAAAAATTTCCAGAAATGACCTCCCATTTCCTTTTCAAAAGACATTCCTTAGAAAAAGGGTCTTAAAAACCTTGAAAGGGAAATGAGATTAGGATTTACAATGGACTTCGTAGTATCAAATTAGCAGCTGCCCAAAAACCAGTTCCATAAGAGCAACATCTTAGTTGATATTCTGAAAATTTCAAACTAATAATCTCTAAGAAACATTATGTCTGTTTTTCCTGTTTTTCAGCATCATGTGACTGAAACATCCTGAGATCATTTTGGAAGGTCACCTGCAAGTTAACTTTTCTTTCCAGGTAGGATAACTCCTAAGTAATATTCTGGAAAAGTCAAATACAGTATTTTTCTCTCTCAGTTTAAGCACTTTCTTCTCTTCCTTATAGAAGAAATACTAGATATTGCAGATAATTGGCTAATTTTATGTTATTATCTTTTGAAGGTATAGAAGTTGAATATATACTTATATCTAGAAGCTCTAAATTTAGTAGGATTAATTTTTTTCAGACTATCAAGGTCATTAGCTATTGAAAAAACTTCAGTGAAAATTTATCTTTAGTTTATACTCAAAAGAAAATTCATCTTTTTAAAAATCAATTTCTTTAAGGTAACAATCAGAAGTTTGAGCCATTTATTACCATTTTGGACATGATGTGCTATGAACCCATTTGTAATTTTTAGGCATTTGAGTGGATGGATTCAAAATTTAAGATGGGATTTTTGTCATCCTCCAGTTGGTGCTATATGTGAATTTAGAGGACTTGGATATTGATCTAGGAAATAGGCTTTGAATCCTTTATGAGGCCTCCCTTCATGATAGGTATTTAATTGGTAAGATTTTACTTATTTGTTTTTTGATGACTACTGGAATGGTTTGCCTTATAATTTAAAAAAGAACACTCAACTTTAATTGAATATAGAAATTAGTAGGTTGTTACATTTAAGATGAGTTATTTATTTTCTACAAAGAAATGACCAGAGGTTTCCTCTGCGAAGGTTCCTTTTTTCTACATTCAACGTAAGTTTGGTTTTATAGAATACAGAACTAGCTAAAAGGGGTATGCCACTTCCACCTTAGAGCAGAGTGTGTTTGTCTTGTGAAAGGCACGCACTAGAGAGAGTGGTGTTATGGTTGTGAAAGTTGAATAGCCGTCCTTGGTCATGAAGAGAAGGACGAATTGGATGTTCTATTTTGTGGGGTTTGATAAGAGTTTCTTTTTCTTTATATTGAAATCTGGGAAGGAGGCACCCCAATAAAGCAGCTTTAGGGTCTCTTGAGAGAGAAGGAGCAAATATCCGAACTTCCTTTCCCCAGGACTTGTGACTAGGGAGGAGAGCCAGTGTGTATCCAGTGTCCCTCATAGACCCAGGGTTTAGAGGAGCAGTGAGCTCCCAGAAATCCAGAAATAAAACCTCCTTGAGGAAAGAATATCTATGCTGGCAACTTGAGATCAACAAGAATTCACTGGGAGGCTTGATTTCAATTTATGCATAAAATTTACAATCTGCCTTTAAAAATGTTTAGATTATAACAATTAAAATTTTAAGTAAATCCTAAATGATCATTGAACTAGGGTTACCATGGTTAAAATAACACAAGAGCCAAGTATGTGTAATATTCTACAAATTTTATTTCATTTATATAAATTAATAGACAAATTATAGAACAAGACTGTTGGAAACCATGAAAAGGAGAACTCTCTCCCCCAGCTATAGGAGGTTGTCTTAGAAGATGTGAGCACGGGCTAGGTGACACCCGCTCTCTTCCTGACAAAACCTTAGGCTCCTCTGAACTCTTCCTCCTCTGAACTTCTGTCCTCTATATCCTATCAAATTTCTCACCTCCTGTTCTTGGTGTCTGACCACTCTGGTCTGCCTTCAGCAAGAATCCTGTCTAGTTGGTTGAGCCTGAATCCCCCCTTGCCCCTGGTGTTTCCTCTTGGGAATTCTTCATCCGCTGACCCTCACCTTGATCCTTCCCTTGCAGTATTCCCACTTGTCCATGCTGTATTCAGAACTGAGCCTAGCTCACCCTCATGTAATAGTTCATGTAATTGTTCCTGAATAAAATCTGTTTTTACAGCTTTAACTACATTTGTACAGTTTTACTACTGTCCGACTCTGGTTTCTTTGATATAGGTAAGCTTGAGAATAACTCAATGCATAATTGTCAAATATCATTATGCCCTTAATCCATGGAATTAAGTGTTATTAGTAAACCGATCTGGATCCTGTCCTTGTCATGTTGTACTTGCACGGCTGTATTTACTTTTGATAATGCCCATGGACCAGGCATTAAGTATTAGGGAAAGAAGGACATGAAAATGAGAAAGAAGATAATCTAGTTTCTTGAACAAACACCACTTGGAAATTGGTAAATAAGCCAAGAGCTATTGCTTAAATCAGAGATGTCAATTTATGGCAGTTAGGATGTGCTCCTTATCCACCTGCTTCTGTCCTCTGGGTTTGACTCAGACCAAGGACCTGGCCAGGTCCAGAGCTGCTGCAGCCTTAGTAGAGAATAAAAAAGCCAGGGGAGGTCAGTAAGGGTCAGGAACTGTCCCAGCTCAAAACTCTGGGTAAAGAGATCATCAAGAGCCTGCTCGTTTCTGTGACTGAATATATACTAGGGCCCACACTGAAACAGCAAAGGGAATTAAAATAGTGATTGGCTAGTCAGAGAGCTCAAAATCTGACTGCAGTGTTTTCCTGCCAAACCATGTTTCCCCGGGCTCTTACTGTAAGGCATTCCTGCTTGGAGCTGCTCTCATAGAGTCAAAGGGCCAGAGGCTTTGGGTCAAGGAGTCCTGTGGCTCCTACATACCAGTTCTGCTGGTCATTAACTACCAGAACAGGATGCATATAATGTGCTCCTCTCTGCCTCAGTTTCTCATCTGCCTTTATTATTCATTTGACAGGTGTGATTGAGCACCTACAAAGTGCCACACACAAAACTTGGTACTGGGATACAGACAGTCTGGCTAAAAATAAACAAGTGAAAGAACAAATAAAAAATGCAGTTTTAATTGCTATGAAGAAAAAACAATACAGAATATGGATATAGACAGTAACTATGGTACCTTCTGTCAGATGGCATGATCGAGCTGATGAACTTTTAAATTGAAATGTAACAGTTTAAAAACAGCCTTTTACCTTTAACTTCTTATTCTCAGACTATCAGGGAAAGCCTGTTCTTGACCTGGGAAACAGCATTTTCAAGGCCTGAGAGTATGCCTTGAAGTGAGGCCCTAATCTGAATTAGGTGTGCCCTTTTAGGTTATGAAAAGGAACTTGGATTTGTATGCAAGTTGGGTGAAGAATGGATTGGCACATCGTCATCATCAAACCTGTGGTAGTGGTGGTAATTATTATTGTTATTCCAATCTGACTTTTATGGAGTATCAGTCAAATTGTACTGAAGTAAAAGGGATAAATAGTACATTGTAGGCAAAAGCAAAAACACCTGAACATTTCTTTTTCTCTGAATGAAGTTACATGAAACAATAGTACCATTAATGTTTTTGGCAACAATCTGGCTTGTCAGCTGTCTTTTTCACTAAAAATATAAACCCTGTATGTACCAAAAACAGTGCCTCCGCAGAGGTTATTTAAATTTTATTACGCAGCTACTTTAAAAATGTTTGCTTATGTCTACTTCTGGAAATGTACTGATTATTGAAGTTGAAGAATGATTAGATTGATCCCTCTTTTGATTATACATATAACTAGACATTTCCAGGCCAACAGCAAAAAAAAAAAAAATACATACATTCATAATATGGCATATAAGAATCAGGTCTCAAGATTAAGATAACAGATGGAACATTCTATGGGTGGTCAGGATGTTAGAGGAAGTAGGTATACACACATGTACAGAGTACAGACTATAGAGGTTGCTGGGCCATCATCTTCCATGTTGAAATTTTTATTGGCTACATGTAGATCTGTGGCTCTCCATCTACAGTATGAAGGTAGAAGAAATGTTTATGATTCAGAGATTTAAGGGTAGCTCCATTCCTTTCTTCTGTCTTAGTCAGCTAATTTGAGTGCAATATGATGGAAATACTTGGATTTCAAAGACGTGATTTTCTGGAGAAATGGTTTATTTTGTAACACTGTGTGTGACAGAGAGAATGGGAAAGGGAGGGGCGAAATAGTGCTCAGGAAGAGAGTCACACATAAATACAGGTAACAGGTCTTATTAAATCCATGGCCATCCACATCCAACATGTGCACAGTGCACACAATCTTCCTGGCAACTTTCTGCAGGATTGTAGAAGTAAGGAATAAGTTTGAATAATTAAGAAAAATTCCAGCAAGTTGTTAAGCTTTGTGAAAGTATGTTAGCAGCTCATATACTGATTTCCACATTTCAGACAGCTAACATGGAAAACAAAAATAGCAGAAAATGAAGGTCTACACCCATAAGATGAAAGGAATGACATCCAGGGGTCTCCATCACTGTCCCAGGATCAGAACACTGCCTGAGGACCTCCACTCAGAAAGGGCTTTTTTTTTTAAGACCTATTTAAGGCAGATATTTGTTTTTTTCTAGGGTGTTTCTTTCTCAAGGACCTGACTTTGAGATCAGGGTCATATAACGGACATTTGCAAAACTCGGCATCATGCTGCTGAGAGAATGTGAAAAAAATATTCTACTGTAGCAATCTATCAGGACAATTTATTCACATTTTGACCCCTCCGTAGGCTGTGGGGACCTTGGATTAATTGTGACTCTTTTGTTAATCACTTGTGTCTCCTTGGCTTTGCTCCTTTACTTCTCAACAACACTCTTCAAAGGTTAATGATGAGTCACTAACAAAATACACACTAAACCAGAATATTCTTTTGACATGTGGAGATATCGAATAAAGGATCACTTTGAACAAATGTCTCTGATGAAAAAACTGCAGTGGTGAAGCTGCAAAGAGTGACCTTTCTAAACCCCAAACCTGGTAGTGTTACTTCCTATTTAAAACCCATTGCTGCCCATTGCTCTTTGCATGGCATCCACACTCCTTAACACAGTTTACAAGGTCTCACCTGGCCCTGGTTATTTTTCCAACTCCTCTTTCTCTATCAAGCCTGGAGCTCTTCCTCCCAGATACAGCCAACTGCCCTCCTTTTCTAGTACACGTTGCCCTCACCCCTTAACCTACTGCAGATTTGCTACCCAGAGAACTCTTTTCTCTTCTCCATGCCTGGCTCATTCCTACCTTTGTCCAGGTTACAGATCCCTTCCTGTAGGATACTCTTCTTGATCCTTCAGGTGAGAGAGACACCTGTCTTTTTGCTTCAA